GTGACGGAGAGAGTTGATACTCAGCCAACAAGCATAGTTTAAGACCATAATGGTTGTCAAAACACTGTGTTGGTTGATAAATAGGCTCTGCTCTGAGCAATGCTAAGTGACCTCTGCGCCCTGATTGCCTCAGCCACTTCCTTGCAAGTACCCCTCCCTCCAAGACCAGCAACTAAAGGGATATGTCTGGCCTGGCCAGGGGACTCTAGAACTCTGCTGCTACAATCTGGCTTGCCACTTTCCCAATTGGTTCTTGCATATGGCTTACTGGTTGTTAAATATTTTAAATATCCTTCCCCTGGAGGAGTATCACAAAAGAAGCATAGGGGAAAGTCTGTAGACTTTTGGGTGTCCTATGACTCCCAGGAGCCTCCTTTCTATGTGTGATGATGGCAGAGAGAATCCTCCAGGATTATATTCCTGATAGAAAATGCTCCATATGTATTTTGCTTTTTCTATTCATTTACAGCATACACAGTAAAGTACACAAGGCTGAAGTGTACCGCTCGTTGAATTTTTACATGTGTACACCCATGTATCCACCACCCAGATCAATATATAGAACATTTTTAGCCTGCCAGCTGGCCCCCTCCTGCCTCCTTTCCATCAATTACCCCAAATAACCATAATACCAACATCTATCACTATTACTTAATTTTGCCTGTTTTAAAAGTTCTGTAAATGGAAGCATAGAGTACGTACTCTTTTGAGTCTGGTTTCTTTTGCTCAACATGAAAAATGTCCTTCCTTTGTGATTTATTTGGCTATTTTTCCAAATTGTTAAGTTGGATTCTTAGCTCATTAATTTCAACCTTTCTTCTTTCTCTTTGCATTTTTTACAATTTTTAAAAATTGTGGCAAAATACATGTAACATAAAATTGACCATTTTAACCATTTTTAAGTGTACAATTCAGTGGCATTAATTACATTCACAATGTTGTGCAACCATCATGATTATTTCCAAAATTTTTCATCACCCCAAACAGAAAGTCTGCACTCATTAAGAAATAACTTCCCATTCCTCTCCCCCTTGAGTTCCTGGCAACCTCTTTCTGTCTCAATGAATTTGCTTCTTCTAGATATTTCATATAAGTGGAGATACACAATATCTGTCCTTTTGCTTCTGGCTTATTTCACTTAACATGATATTTTCAAGGTTCATGCACGTTGTAGCACGTATCAGAATTTCATTCCTTTTATGGCTGAATAGTATCCCATTGTACGTATATATCACATTTTGTTTATCCATGTATTTTTTGATGGACACTTGGGATGGTTCTACCTTTTGGTTATTGTGGATAATGGTGCTATGAACATACTGTACAAATAACTGAGTCCTTGTTTTTAATTCTTTTGGGTATATACCTAGGAGTGGAGTTGCTGGGTCATACAGCAAGTCTATGTTCAGCTTTTTAAGGAATGGCCAAACTGCTTTTCAAAGCAGTTGCGTCATTTTACGTTCCCACCAACAATGCACAAGTGTACCAACTTCTCCACATCATTGCCAACCTTTTAATTTTTTTTTCTCCTTCTTCTTCTTTTTTTTTTTTAGGCTGCACCGTGTGGTATGTGGGATCTTAGTTCCTGAGCAGGGGCTGAACCTGCGCCACCTGCAGTGGAAGAGCAGAGTTCTAACCACTGGACCCCCAGGGAAGTCCCTTTCTTTATTTTTATAGCCATTCTAGTTGGTGTGAAGTAATATCTCATCGTGGCTTTGATTTATATTTCACTAATGACTAATGATTTTGAGCATCTTTTCATGTGCTTACTGGCCATTTGTATATCTTTGGAGAAATATCTGTTCAAGTCCTTTGCCTATTTTTTAATTGGGCTGTTTGCCTTTTTGTTATTGAGTGGTAGGAGTTTTAAAAAAATATTCTGGATATTATACTCTTATCAGATATATGATTTGTAAATATTTTCTCCCATTCTGTGGATTGTTTGCTCTCTTGACAGTTTCCTTTGATGCACAACACAATGGTCTGTAATTTTTATGAAGTCCAGTTCATCTATTTTTTCTTTTGTTACTTCTGCTTTTGATATCATATATAAGAAACCATTGCCAAATCCAAGGTTATGCACATTTGCTCCTCTATTTTCTTCTGATTGTTATAGTTTTAGCTCTTAAAATTGTCTTTAATCCATTTTTGAGTTGATTTTGGTATATTCTCTAAGGTAAGGGTCCGATTTCATCCTTTTACATGTGGCTATCCATTATTTACTGAGGAGACTATTATTTCCTCATTGGTCTTGGCACCTTTGTCAAAGACCAGTTGGCCATTCATTTCTAGGCTCTAAATTCTATTCCACTGGTCTATACAGATGCTTTTGATTATTGTAGCTTTTAGTAAGTTTTGAAATAAGGAAACTTTGTTCTCTTTCAAAATTATTTTGATTATTTTAGGTCTCTTAACCCAAAATTCCATATAAATTTTAGGAAGAGTTTTCCATTTCTTCAAAAACCATCATTGGGACTTTGATAGGGATGCACTGAATCAGTATATCACTTTGGGTAGTACTGTTGTCTTAATAATAAGTCTTCCAAACCATGAACATGAGGTATATTGATATCTCCATTTATTTAGGTCTTAACCTTTCTCCTTTTTTAGTTTAATAATTCAAGGTGATTTCATTCTAAGTATCATTTTAGCTTCATCTCCCAGTTTTTGATATTCTTACATTTATTTTAAAATTTCTGTCTTGATATATTCCTTGACCCATGAAGTATTTGTCTTGCTTTATTTTCAAATAAATGCTTTTAAATATGATTTTATTATTGATATTTAACTTAATTGCAATATGATCAGGGTTGTGGGTTAAATGATACCAAGTCAGAGATGTGTAAAACTTGTTTTATGAACTTGAAAATATAATGTTGTATATGTTCTTGAGAAGAATGTTTTCTATGATTGTTGGATGCAAAGTTCAGCATATATCCATTAGATCAAGCTTTAAATTCTTTGCCCTCACTGATTTTTTTGGTCTGTTTGATTTATTACTGAGAGTTGTACTACAATCTTCCCATCAGGATAGTGTATTAATCAATTTCTTTTTGTGTATCTGTGTCTATCTGCTGTGCATGCGTGTGTGTGAATTGAACCTTGTATCATTTTGCATAATGATACATTTAATACTCTTTATATATCTCTAAGGATCTTTTTTGCCTTAAAGTCTATTCTGTCTGATATTAATATAGTTACATCAGGTTTCATTTGATTAATATCTACCTGGTACATCTTTCTTTATGTTTCTTCAATCAATGTATTTATCTTCTGATTAATTAAATAAAATAATTCAGTATTTTAGATAAGTTATTTTTGTTAATATCCACCGATTAGAATGTATTGATTTTATACAACCCACTTTTTAAAAGAATACCAACGTATTTACAGTTTTCTTTGTTCAACATTCCATCTCACATTGATATTCATTTGGGGATCATTTCCCTTTTATCTGAAGTGCAACCTTTATAATCTTCTTTAGTTATGGTCTTTTGATGATAAATTCTGCCAATTTTTGTTTGTCTGAAATGTTTTTGAGCCATATTATTGGAAGATAGTTCTGTCAAGTATGCAGTTCTAAACTGACAGTTGTTTTTACTCAAACCTTGATTATTTAATGTCTTTGACTTCTATAATTGCTTTAGAAGTTAGCTTTCAGTCTATTTTTTGTTCCTTTGTAAGTAATCTATCTTTCCTATCTGGCTATTTTTAATGTCAAATATTTGTCTTTTGTACTCACGGTGAAATGCTAAGTGAAATTATATTCTTATTTATCTTATTCAGAGTCCACTGTCCTTCCTGAAATTGAGAATTTGTATCTTTAATCAAGTCTGGAAAATTCTTAGCCATTATCTTTTAAAATATTGCCTCTCAATAGACATTTCTCCAAAGAAGACATACAGATGGCCAACAGGCACATGAAAAGTTTTTCAACATCGCTAATCGTTGGAGAAATGCAAATCAAAACCACAATAAGAAATCACCTCACACTTGTCAGAATGGCTATCATCAAAAAGTCTACAAGTAACAAATGTTGGCGAGAATGTGGAAAAAAGGGAACCCTCGTACACTGTTGGTGGGAATGTAAATTGGTGCAGCCACTGTGGAAAGTTCAAGGAACTGTGGAGGTTCCTTGAAAAATTAAAAATAGAACTACCATATGATCCAGCATTTCCACACCTGGGTATAGCCAAAGAAAACAAAAACACTAATTTGAAAAGATACATGTACCCCAATGTTCAGAGCAGCATAATTTACAATTGCCAACATATGGAAGCAACCTAACACCTTATCCAGATGCCAAGGGTTTCTACTAATCCAAGACCATTTTATAATATCTCAGCTTAAAGTTCTGTGTTTTTTGTTGTTCAAATGCTTTTTTTCTGGAAAGTACCATGCACTAAGTATTGCTGAGTATGTAGTAAAATGTTACAGAGATAGTAATTAGTCCTTGAGTGGGAAAGATCCAGTAACAGTGTTTGGCAACCCTGTTACGGGTATTTGAGTAACCCTCTTTGGAAATAAAATGGTCACACTATCTGCCAATAGGGCTAAAAACAAAACAAAACAAAACCCCATCATCCTCACTCTTAAATAACATCTACTTGTTGGATTACTGTACGTAACACATTTTACCTTCATGTTGCAAAAGAGAAAGAAGGGGAGAGAGAAGAGAATGAATGAGAGATTCTCTGAGTAATGACTATAATTAAGGCATGGAATGTGATGAAATAAAAAGAATCTTAGTTATTTCCTACCAGATATGAAATCAGATTTACTACATGGAGCAAATATCAACTTGTGAGGATACAGGAGTCATGAAAATAGGTGGTTTTTTAGTAATTCATACAACACTACAAACTAAGTAACAAGATGACAAAGACCAAGTCTGTTTTATCCCCCATTGCCTCCCCAGTGCCTAGCATGGCCATAACAAACAATATTTGTTAAATGAGGACCTACTGTGTGCTATGCACAGTACTAGGAGCAAGGTGGACATGACCCTAATCCTCAGTCCTAAGGAGAAATCCTACTTCCTCAAGGTAATAAAAGCTGGAGTTTGGAATCACACAAATATTAACGATATTATCGAGGATAATGAAAACAACTAACAGGGCTCCTTTTCATGATTACATTCATAGCTTTCTCTGTCAACTATTATAACAACTCCGTGGAGTAGCCGGGCAAATATTAACATCCCCAGTTCACAGTTGAGATAATAATAATAATACTCAGTAGTTACTGAGGGATTCTTACTTGCCAGCACAGCATTCAATGCTTTACATTCATTATCTCATTGAATTCCCCAATAACCCCATAGGCAGATACTACTATTTCCCTCATTTTCAGACTAGGAAATCAATGAAGCTAAAGCAAATTTAAGCAACTGTGCGGGGGTGGGGGGGTGGGGAATGCATAATTATTCAGTGGCAGAATCATGATTTATCTCAAGCGGTGGGACTCCAGGGTTTTCCACTGTGCCTAGAAAAGGCAGCTGAACACACAGAGCAGGTGAAGATGCTGGAGCTATTGCCAGTCGGGGCACCTTTATTACCACCCAGATATTTAACAGGTGCCCAACGGTGAAGCTAATTTATTCCCAGAGAGTTTAAAGACTCATCTTTAAATGACTACAAAAAGTATCCCACCATAACAGACACAATTTAACTACTGCAATAATTTTGAGAGAAGAGAATGTTTTGTTGCTATTTCCTCTAGAAGCAATGCTCACTATTTAAATCAGGAACATTCAGAAGCAGCAAGAGAACTTAGTAAACCCCAAATACATCCTCACGCAATCCATATTTACGTGGGCAACTGCGTATCACGGCCAACTGGATGGCAATTTTACTGCTGAAGTGAGTCCAAGCAAAAGAATCAAGCAACACAAGAGCTGGGAGGGACTCTGGAAACCGGCTGGTGACTAGCTAGATACCAGTGCGCAGCCCCCGATTTACTGAGGCGGTGAGATTCACGGAGTTCCAAGACCTCCAGAAAAGCATTCCGTGCCAAGAGGCCTTCCCACCATTAGAAATCAGTCTATTCCTTTCGCCCCCTTTCCACTCCTTCTCTTGCCCTCTCTCTAGCTGCTTTCTTCCTTTTCTTCAACACATTTTTTGAAACGGTGGTGAACAAAATAAACACGAACACGCCTTCCCAACAGATTAAAACATAATTAAACCAGGAACCTGATCCTTCGCGCTTCCCCTGCTACGGTCCACGCCCCGGGGCGCTGGAGAAGGTTCTGGTGAGGCGAGGGCTGGGGAACGCAGGGAGGCCCCGCGGACGCGTGTTCCCCGCTAGCAGCAGGCGGGCGCCCTGAGCGAGTCTGGGCAGCGCACAGTTCCGCGGGTCTCCTAGCGACCCGAGAGGCGGGGAAAACACACCACCGGAGGCCGGGTGGGCCGCCGGGGAACCACGGCTGACCTCAAGCGGCTGTTCGCACCCGCGGCGCGGGCCCGGGTGTCGGTGGGCACGGACTACAGGCCCTGGTAAGCGCGCGCACGCGCGAGGGCGCATCCTGCGGGTGGAGCGTGGGGGAAGCCTGCACCCTCTGCTTGCTGCGGCTGGGGGCGGGGGATGGCCAGGGGCCGCGGAGGACCCTTTCCTCCTCATGGTCCCCCGCAAAAATAGACCATAACCAGCGCGCGACGTTCCTCAACGCCAAGGACACCTTTTTTTGTTGTTGTTGTTATCCTCAGAGTCCCCCAGAGGATGTAGATGAATATACCCATTCCAGATGGGAAACTGAGTCCTCTGTGGAGACTGGTTTAGCCTGCTACCCGCCCTTCTCCGGGTTAGACAGCACCTGGACCCTTGGCCACCCAGCTGGTAACTGTGGCCAAGCTGAGCCCGTGTTTGGAGAGCACCTCGGGTACTGGGGTGGTCTGCTGCCGTTTTGAATGTGTTGATCTCGGAGAGACAGCAGTCAGCTGTCCTGAAGAGAGGTCGTAGTTCCCTGCCCAGGAATTGAACCTGGGTAGCCTGGATGAAAACCAGGAATCCTAGCCACCAGGGGCTAGAGGCTAGAAGCAAAGTTCCCCTGGCTCTTACCCCCATTGAAAGCAAGAATGTTTCAAGGAGGCAAAAACTGTAAAAACAGGTACAGCGTTTATTATTAGAGACACAGCACAATGTATGGGAGAGCACACACTGAAACAGTTTATTTAAGTCAGGAGCTAGGCAGAAATACACACCCAGGGAGAAAGGGTATGGGCGTCCTCTCTTAATGAGGAGGAGACAGTAAGTCAGAAACTAGGCGGAAGTACACAACAGGAGAGAAGTGCTGGCCTCCTGATTGAGAAAAGCAGTGAAGAGGTGATTTAAATCCCTTCTATAGGACAGTCCTTCCAGGTCTTTGTTTACATCTGGCCAATTATCTTGCTTCTTCCTTCACACCTGACTGGTCCTAGGATGCTCCCCAACATGCGTGTGCAAATTTTTGCTAAGATGGAGCCCACTGCAGAGGCCTGTGGGTGCATGTCCACACTTACTATGGGGTGGCGCCCCTCCCTTTTTGACCCCCAAGGAGCCTTCCTGCGCATGTGCAGAAGGGACGTTTTCCTGACCTCAGGAGTGGTCATCTTACTCTTAACTTCAGCAGAGCTCAGCTTCTGCCGCTAGCTTTCCTTGGAGTGTCTGGGGGAGAACAAAGCTTCAATTTTACTCCACGTGACAGACACCAGCTGTCCAGCCCAGGGGCCCATCTGTCTCCTACCTCTGTCACTGCCGCAGGACAGGAAGCTGAGGCTTTCTGCCTTTGCTGATTCCTCGAGCTGCTTATGAGAATGGAATTCGGCTCTCTTGTAGGCAGCATGATGTGGTGGTTAAGATTACAAAGCCTAGAATCAGAAAGGCTGGAGTTGAAGGCCAGTTTTCCTCTTGTTTGACTGGTGACCTTAGGCAACTTAGTTGCTGTTTCTGGACTCAGTTTTCCTACCTGTAAAATGGGGACAATAAAAGGAATCAGCTTTATAGGATTGTTGTGAGGATTTACTGACGTAGCACCTGTGAAGCAGTTACTGCCACATACATGCACTGTATACATGTTAGCAATTATGAACTCTTTGAGAATCTCTCCCCACCCCCATTTTCAAACTGTTTGCTTTGAAATAATTATAGACTCACAAGAAGTTGCAGATATAGTGCAGAGGCCCCATATACCCTTCCTCCAGATGCTTCCAGTAGTACCATCTTGCATAATGATAGTACATTACCAAAGCAGGAAATCAGCACTGGCGCAGTATATGAATTAGACGGTAGACTTTACTTGAATTCCACCAGTTTTCACTTGTGTGTGTGTGTGTGGTTCAGTAAAATGTCATATGTATACGTCAAGATACAAAACTGTTTCCTCACCGCAAGGGAACCACTTCATACTATCCCTTTATTATCATTCATTTTCCCACCCACAACCCTTGGCAACCACTAATTTGGCCTCCATTTCTATAATTTTGTTCTTTTGAGGATGTTAGATAAATAGAATAATACCTTTATTAAAGGTATAAAACTTTTGAGATCGGCTCTTTTTCATTCAGCGAAAGCCCTTGAGATCCATCCAAGAGATTGTGTGCATCAACAGTTAGTTCATTTTTACTGCTGAGTTGTATTTCGTGGCATGGACGTACCATGGCTTATCCATTCATGTGCTGAAAGACATTCAGGTCGTTTCTAGCTTTTAGCTATTATATATAAAGCTGCTATGAACATTTGAGTACAGGTTTTTGTGTGAACATAAGTTTTCATTTCTTTAGGATAAATGCCTGACACTCTTGCAATTCTTAAAAGTGGAAATATCCAAGTATCATATAGTGACTGTGAAAATAGTAAATGTTTAGAAAAAATGTGTTATTTTCTGGGTCAAGCAAAATTTTTCATGAACTTAACAGAATGCAGAGTGGTAAGCTTATCAGCTATGAGAGGTAAAGTGGGGTCATGGGAAGCCCTCCAGCCAGATTGGTTGCCTTATTCACCTCTTTGGAACTCAGTTTCCTCATTGAAAAGTGAGGAAGGTGGACTAGATTTCTTTCAAAGTTTCTGCCAGCTCTAACAATCTATGAGGTTTGAGCTAGCTGCCACATTTTCCGCATTTTAAGTTGTATGACTGTCCTTAAGTAAAAATATTGGTTATCAGATTTGATTTTATGAAGTGCTTGGGTGTTTGAATTTGTTGTAAATGTGTGGAAAATACACTTTGGTAAAGATATTTAATACTGTGGAGGGTAACTTGCTAACAGGTCATACTGAGTGGGTCATCAAATCTCCAGATTAGATGGAATTTCGACATCCCCACCCCTTAGCTATTTGAGTGACTTATTAATTGCAAAGGGCAACTCTTCGTTAACTCACGTTTTCATATCCTTTCATTTAGATCTTCGCAGTAGAGATGGGTTAAGCCCTTAAAACACACATGCATGCACAGCAAGCAAGAAGTTTCTAGGACTCATAAGAAAAGAATAGAGATCAAGCTGGAACCTCTTAAAAATGTTTTGTGCCGGGCTTCCCTGGTGGAGCAGTGGTTGAGAGCCAGCCTGATGATGCAGGGGACACGGGTTCATGCCCCGGTCCGGGAGGATCCCACATGCCATGGAGCGGCTGGGCCCGTGAACCATGGCTGCTGAGCATGCGTGTCTGGAGCCTGTGCTCCGCAACAGGAGAGGCCACAACAGTGAGAGGCCCGCAGACCGCAAAAAAAAAACAAAAA